GCTCCAGCAATGCAACATCTTTCTTGTAGTGAGGGGCCCAAAACTGAACACAGTATTCGAGGTGCGGCCTCACCAGCACCGAGTACAGGGGCACGATCACTTCCCTACTCCTGCTGGTCACACTATTCCTGATACAAGCCAGGATGCCATTGGCCTTCTTGGCCACCTGGGCACACTGCTGGCTCATATTCAGCCGGCTGTCAACCAGTATCGCCAGGTCTTTTTCCGCCAGGCAGCTTTCCAGCCACAAAATGCCCTTTCCTTCCTTACTAGGTCACTTTTCAGATTAGAATTGTACCTTAAAATGCAGAAAAGGGTATCAGTATGGAAAAGTGGGTACTTACTAACTTAAAATAAAATTCCTGTTATGGAATGATAGGGTACAGGTAAAAGAAAAATGATTCACCCTCAGGTGATAGTAAATACATAAATTTACAGATTAAGCATACACATTGCTAAGTAATCTATTCCAATGTGAAGTTATCCTCTTTCCTCTGTATCTTCCTAGTTCTTTAATCAATCTAGTTTAATTATTCACAAGATTACATCCTTGTAACATCTTGTAATAACTTCACAGATGTATTTCATTGGTATACTGGAGGACTTCATCATTAATTAAATAACAGAATTTCTGTCAGCACAGTAAATGAATTCCTTGCCTTTGATACTGTTTAAAAGACTAGGGCAGATAAGGAGTCAAATGTAATTCAGATAACAGTCTCAATTAAAAAGACAAACCAATTAAACATTTGTGATCTGAATAATACACTTGAAAAATTTCTGCATGCATTATTTAAGACACGATTTAAAAAAAAAAGTCTCTTAAAAGCACATGGCAAAAATAGAGTGTGGATGCTGGACATCACTAGAAAATTTTATATAAAATATTCTTCATATGAAAGGCTAAAAACACATATCAAAACCACTAGCTGAACTAGAATTACATGTGTTTTTAGGGTACTTCTTGGGGACAGCATCACTCCAACATCCTGGGTTTCCTTTCTTAAGTAAACCACCATTGCTACATATCTTGTCAACATCCCCTACTCATGCTGCTCTTTTATCCAGAGGAGTTGTATTTATATTATTTGGAAAAGGCTTTGAGAACATGGGAAAGAAAATTACTCATCTATTTCTTGAACAAAGATGTGGCATTTTTTGGGGGGGTGGGGGAGGGGCATTTTTGGAAGAAACATATCATAAACTACTAGATCTAGTGTGACATGTGGAGAAGCTTCATTAAACTAACTTTTATAAAACTGGTGTTAGTGTACTTGCTTCTTTTCCTTAACCAAAAATATTGCCATAGTTCTGCTCTACATACCAAAATGTAATGCTTCAGATCACTGAAGTACCATTTCCTCTCATGAAACACTAACAAAGCACCTGATACCATTTTTTCCTGAAAAACGTGTGTCCTAAATGGCTCAAACCCAAACATTAATTTTCACTTATTTAATGTATATTTTAAGCAACTGCAATTTCAGAAAAGTTTTCAAATACTACACACTAAAACCCCAAAGCTAATTATGATTCTGAAATCAGTTTCTTGTGAAGCAAAGTTCTTGTGCCTGAAGGTTGGTAAAAACATTGCTTAATAATTAGTATTGTCTTCTTGAATAGATACAGTATACATACAGAATAGCCAGTGTAAAGTATGTCCGGATACACAACTTTGTACACAAATAGAGTAATGAAATATGGAGCTTTAATGCACACACATTTTGCATCACTTTTTATTTCAACATGTTCTGGTCAGAATCTATATGTAAATGATGACTCTAAGTACACCTTAAGCAATTTTGTGTAAGAAAGATTAATGAAGCGCTGAAAGTAATGTAAAGGGCATTGTTTTGCAATCAAAAATAATAATCAATTGCCTTCACTATTTTCTTATCTCTACCAAGCTTATCAGCATTAATTATTAGCATTACAGATGATCTTCCAGGTGCATTCTGCTCTGTAAACAATCATCCATGTCCGTACAATGTGCACAGGTTACAAGGCAAACAAGACTTCAAGTCCTAAATATCAAGAACAACATCTATAACCAACAGAAGAGATTCTTTTAGGACTTCACATGATTTAAAAAGAGTCAATACAATTCAGCTGTTCTCCAACTTTCAGGACAGAAGCAAGTATTCTCCCCAAAAGCTGTCCCCCTCATAATTTCTGCTAATTCCATTCCTAGGCTGCTCACAGTAGAGCTAAGCTATCCTTACCTTGTAAAATAGTATGTCACAACAGCCCCTGCTACTGTCATCTGCTGACAGGCTAGGATAAACTCACTGATCCAGATCAGGCCCACTACATGGTACCACCACATATACTTCAAAGGGCCTACCATGCGAAATTCAACAAATCCTTCTTCATTTGGTACAGGAGTACCTAGAAATAAATGAAGGTAAAAAAGGAAATGGTGCTTACATCAACTCAGAAAGAAGGAAGCATATGCTGTTAGCAGTTCATAACCACCTAGAGCAGAACCCCTCTAGCTTCTACTAACACTACTAAATGTCATGTTTAGGAAGACTGTTCATAAGAAAGATACAGCTTTTGAGACAATCAGTATAACAGCATTTCAAAAAAACACTAAACGAATATTCTGAGTATACTCAAAGTCCCGCATCACTTCCTTTAAGTTATAGCCACATGGCAAAAATTTCAAAAACTAACCACCACCAAGCAGCAAAAAGTCTTAAAATTATATAGTACAGAAGCCTGCCTTAGTCATTCGTAATTTCAGTCTGCTGCTCTGTTGATATAATTCATACAGTCAAGAATCAATATTAAACTTCATAGCCCCTTACAGCTGGATGTCAACATTAACAATCACTTTTGTTTTCCTTATGTAAGTCTTTGTACATGTATTTCAACACTATTTCTAGCTTTAAAGGTATTTACAGACATAAGGAGAAGCTTTAGTGATTCTAAACACATGATTTCATACATTCAGAAATCCATTGACCCTCTGTCTCATCTGAATAGCAGTATAATGTGTTGAGACTGACAGCACGTCAGAATCCTCCTAGAATAAGCTCTATTTCAATGCGTTAACCCACATTGAGATGTTTCATCTTATACAACAGTTATGTGAACAGCTAATAAGATTCAGAAAAATACTGAAAGTAACATCACGTGTATAAAATGCTTACCTTGAAAGCCAATGTCTAGACTTAGCATTGATAGCACCTTCTCCACGTTCTTAGCTATGCTTTTATGCTTATACAAAACCCCAGTATTTTCTTGTGAATAAATTGAACTATTGAAATTGTTTTGGTTTTAGTGAGCAAGTTCTTCCTAAGGGTAGGCTTCCTCTCATACACAATAATGTACACTTTTTCAGTTTTCCTGGTCTGGATTGCAAAGACCTGGCCCTATTTGCAAAAAGATTTTGTTTAACTGGTATCAGTGAAGATACTGAGTGCATATAAAGCTAAAAGCATAAATTATTTTTTGCAGAATCAAGGCCAATCGAAGAGTTCTGTCAGAGAAATATAGTATCAGTTTAAATTCTGCTACAAATTTAGTCCCTGTGCAGTGGTCTTTAACTCACAGAGTGAACCACGGGATTGAGACTTAACTCACTTTCAGAAGCGAACATTTTCTGCACATAGCACAGCATGTAATGAAAACTAAAAATTTTAACAGTAATGAGAACAAGAACATGTGAGTTCTATCACCTCCATCCCTTCCTAAGAATTCAGGCTATGAAATAAAAAATATTTATCTTCTATTATTCTGAAATAGCTCTGTGACCTGAAACACTGCTACTTTTGGATCAGCAGTAAACAATAAATTTCAGAAGTCTAAGGTTTTAATAATGAATGATGGTCTCTGTTGCCTACAACTTACTGCAAAATAACACAGACATCTCCCATTTTAAAAAGCAGTTGCTAGGTTTCTCTGCTGAAGTAACTAAGACTTGAACCTACAGGACTGACTAATTCTAGAAGCTCTTGTCAGACCCTGAGCACAAACAAAGCTCTCATCTTCTGCACACCTTACAGCAGGCAGAAATTGAGAGTTCATTCGCTGCTCTCAGAAAAACCTCCCTAATAATCCTGGAAAATGCTGCAATAATACTGACACCTAAGTTATGAACAACTTAACACTATTTTGAGTGTATTTACATTTTGGGAGACAGTAAATGTGTGCAACAGCCCTTTCATTACCGTCTTCATCTGTGTGAGTTCTGGCTACAATACAATACCTTATGAAATTAGCTCTAAGATTAGATGGTTTTGACCTGTTTATGTAGAATTAGAGGGAATTACTTGAAAAATTGTTACAGCAGTCTTATTAATGGAGTCTTGTGGTTTACAACATGCCAACTTGCATCAAATCAAAAAGCTGGCCTAAGGCACAAAGTAACATACTGGGAATGCAGACTCAAATGCACAACTACTTTCTTGAAACAAGTGTTTTGAAGTCACTGAAGCAGACAACAACAGAGGCATAATATGTGGGCTTTTTTCTAGGAGTTTCCACATGCTTTTAAACCAACTCTGCCTGTAATCATAGAAAAATGAAGTGGAATTTATTTAAAATAAGCCTGGTAGCTGCTTACCTGTAGTACCAAGGAAAAGCAGGACTGTGATCCAGTATGTCCAGAAGAGTATAAGCACAAAGAATGTCCAAAATGGCTGGAAGACTAGCAGCGGCAGGTGAATGAAGACCTTGCCGGCCACGTGGAACAAGGCAATGGTGAGAGCTACTCGTTTGCGCATAATTAACATTATCAAGAACAAGATAACCTAGAGGGAGAAGTTTCCAAATCACATTTAAAGAATTGAAAAATAAGCAAGCTATCATTTTGCACAGCTAGGATATTCAAACACAGCAAATTAACATATGCCCTATCTATAAGACCACAAGATCAAAATGTAAAACATGTATCAGCTTCTTCTGGTGATAAATTATTTTCCAAATTGTATTTTTTGGGAATTCCAATCTCATAATTATTTATTTGGAATCATCATCAGCCTCAGCCTTATGAGATTAGACCAGATTCTATCCTCAATCATGTTTTACAAACCAGTGAAATCAGCAAGATTTAACAAAGAATACAGTCTAACATCTGTATTTGGGCATAGTGTGGTGGACTTGTCATCTAAAAAAAAAAAAATCAAAATAGAGCTTGCAGTAGTAATAAACTCTTCAAAAATGTGTGCAATATAAACCTCTCACCTGAATAAAAAACACAGAGACAGCCAGTAAGACTTAACAAGAAAATAATATAGTCATTAGCAAAGCATACCGTGAAGACTGTAGCTGAAATGGCATAGATCAGAAGAGCCTGAAGATTGTCTTTGGCTATTTGAGTCTCAACAGCACTGGCAGATATTCGTTGCTTAGCATAGAGCCACCACAGGACTCCTGTACCACCTATGTTTTAGAGAAAACAAAAAAGGATAACTGAAAGATGCACCTTCTGTGTGACACAGCTCTACTACCTCATATGAAAGAAACTAAACAGTTTCTTCTTTTAAGTCTAGTCTGGTACAGAATGCTCAAGGGCACTGATGGCTAATGCAACAGGAACTTCTGAGGATGGAGAATTGCCCTTTTCTCAAGTGGATATACTCTTTTCACAGTCTCACCCCACTATGACCACTTAAGAGACTTGCAGCTCTTTCTGTTTCAGGACTAGCTCATAGGGAGCCCTAGCAACGAAGACCACAACTCCCACCAGACAGGCAATAGAGTAACAAAAAGAATAGAGAGTTATATGGTAGCGTGTATGTATATATGTGTATAATACGGTAGTGAGTAAGAATTTAGGAGGGGTAACAGAGAGAGACCTTTGGATTAGGATGCAAAATAAGAGGAACATAAGGAGGAGTCTACAACTCCTGGAAAGACTAATCGAGAAGAGAAGGAACAGCCCTGATAGTGAAAACTGCACCCCAGGTTAATGACATATAGCTACACCTGCATTCAGACAATGTCTTCTGGGCACTGGAAAAAACATCAGTGAAAGGCTCAGGAGACCAATATAGCGTGAGGTACTTTCTTCTAACTGCTGTTATGAAATCCTAGTCTTATGGCCAGAATTCCGTTCCCATTTTCTAGCTACCTTTCCAAGGTAGAACTTTTCTTAAATACAAGACTGCAGCCCCTCAGGGAGGCTTTTGAGTATCCTTCTCTGTTCTGTTCTTATTCTTGAATCAGCTGCATAAGCTTATCTAGAGATCACAAGTCTTTGCTGAAGGCACTCCCTTCAGGTCTAAAATGGAGGATGCTCTTTTGGCGTCTCCTAAACAAACAGTGAATACCAAATAAGTAATATGCCTCACAAATGACATGTTCTTATTCAGTCTGTGTAACTGATGCAATTTTTTAGAACATAATAACAGATGGCAATAAGTCATTCAACTCTTTCACTCAACATAGTTGCTCAGCTTCTAAAGAGAATATAAATGAAAAAAAACCCTGTTTTTTCCCTTATCTGTGGTCAGAGATCCCATGAACAGTAAGCATTAAAACAAAGTGCTCCTGAAATGACATAGATGGTCTACGGATTTTTTCCATCCCTTGCAGTCATGCATTGCAAAAATGTAATCGCTAGTACTTCCTAATTTAATTATTCTATTTTTGTTCCTTCCCTACAGTCATCTGCCCATACATTTTTGGCTTTGTTACTGAGTATCAGTAATAGAAAACTTAAAGTAAAAGTTGATGTGATAAAGCAAGGCTGTCCTTACGCAAGCTAAATCATTTTGGATGAGACAATCTTTGGCCTTTCCCAAGATGGTATGGCTGGTTGCTTTTCATATATGACATAGGTCATGCAGGACTTTGAGTCATACGGAAGTACAAGAATTTCATTAGAAATTCTAGAAAAGCACTTTTGCTTCCTCTCCTCAGGAACAGATCTTAGATACACCTACAGAACCACTCGGAGGACTGAAGGAGCTGATGAACCTGTCAGGGTTGTGTGGACACATCTACATGCTAAAGGTCCCCTGAGGCTGCATAAACAAGAATTGTCCTTTGATTCCTGCACACTTGAATACGCCCATCAGGTGGGTATGCCATCAGACACACCCAGACTAGCCGCGTCTTGCTCACATGTTTGGAAGGCATGTTAAGAAGTAGGCAACATTTAGGACTGTGCTACAAGTGCTGTGAGGAATATCCCCCATTGCCTGTGTGGGCTCTAATGAGATAGGCTGACAGGAAGCTTGCCAGCCAAGCAAGTTGTGCAGCAAATCTCTAAGGAGCAGCATACTCTCTGGGAGAGGACTGCAGTTACAAAGGTAGCACTTTTGACATTTGTCTTGCAGGGGACTCAAAGGAAAGCTGAAGGGAAATGAATGGTCTAAGATCTGTCCAGGATGTAGCCGGCCTGAGGAGACGGAGCACAAAGGTTCTAACCAGGCATTCAGAAACTGGGAGACAAGTAAGACTTACCGAGTGATCCCAGAATGACAAGAATTGTTAAAATCCAGACAAGTACTCTTGAAATGTACCTGATTATAACCATCAAGATCATGGACAACACTGCAAAAGAAGACAAATAAAGTAAGTAGAGCAATCATTTCAAGCAGAAATAGCCTTCCTAATTCTCCCACTGCACTAAGATAACTGCCCTCTAACAGAATTTTTAGACGGAGATTTATTTTCTGAGGCTTACAAACTCACTGCACAGATAGTTAAGCGAATTATGCACCTCTACACCTTCTGCTTTGATATTGTTGATTAAAACAAAGGAAGCATACATACATTTACATGGTACATTAAATACAACACATAATGTGTACATAAAGACAGAGATGTATTTAGACAATGACAAAACAGACAGCAAGACATGATAGTACTCCATATCTGGTAACATGAGCACACCTCCTGAGGGCCAGAGCAGAATTTGCACTCAAACACACTTGTCAAACAAGTGCAGATAATGTGACACCTGTGTATTCCAAAATGTCATGCCAGTAAAAAGCAAAAAAATTACTACTTTATTTTCAACATTCAACATGAGCTCTTTAACAAGCTTTGCTCATATAGTTCCACTGGCATTCAGGAGCTGAGTGTTAAAAAGCCCTCTACAATCTTAGCCAACTAAGATTTAGTGAGTGGTGTGCTAGTGCATGCACATATTTTTGCATATACTTATTTGTGTACAGCAGTTACATGAAAACCACTGGAACCTGGCTTGCTGAATCACACAATCTTACCCACTGTTTAAAAATAAATAAATTCTGTTTATCTATGAAGGTATGAAAAATATTTTTTAAATTAACTGTATGTAAAATTCTGTACTAACTTCTGCCTCTAACCCAATAGCAGCACTGCTAATTAGCCACCAGCTTTCAGGTTCTACACAGTCTTTCTACCATTAGCAAATACTGCAGCTGTCAAGATAGAAGAATAAACAGCTTTCCAGTTATATTTGAAAATATACTCAGTGGTCTTTAGTGGTTTGTTTGGGGTTTTTTAGTGGTATCTAGCATCCTCTTTTTTTTTTTTTAACCACAAAGGCAGACTGAAAACAAAGGAATTCTTTATCTGGTACAGCTTCGCAGTGTTTCTTTCTAAACCACACACTGCTCATATATATGGACAGTATCTTGAGCTTCCCATTTTAGGATTTCAGACTTTATACTTGGTAGGAGTAGAATAAACTCATTAGGAAAGTAACTTATGTGGGTGAGTAGCATTCCACCTTAATTCACGAGAACCTGTTAAAATAGCACTTCAGTCTAGCGCCATGTGCCACTCTATAGATTCAGGACCTCTATACTGCTGGGAATGCACTTCAGTCTAGCGCCATGTGCCACTCTATAGGCCAGAGGCATCTCGCAACTCTAGAAACGATTCAGGACCTCTATACTGCTGGGAAATTCCAGCTATTCAGACAAGGCTGAGGTTCTCAAAGGCCTGAAGTTTTTAACTTTGGGGGGAGGGGGAGAAAGGGGTAGCATACAATACAACAAATGGGCACCTAACTTTGTTGTTTTCCCTCTGAAAGTTCTCATATCCCTTCACAAGTATATTAAATGAAACAAACTAAACCCCCTACATTTTAGAAGAGTGTGCTATTGTGCAATTCTCACCTTAACCTTTGTATTTGGAAAGACTTTATTTGGACTTGGGTTAGTGGAAGACGAATATTAGAAAAGGGGAAAGTAACTATTATAATAAAAATAAGGATAATGGAGATACTCTGTTAACTATACCAAAACTAATATTGGCTTATCAACTGCCACACATCCTCGATATCACACAATCAGTGGAAGAGGAGAAAGAACAGGAATGCATATGTGTATTGCTTCTGAATTAAGTTATCCAGCTGTCAAATAACATTTAAAAAAAGCATTCTGAACCATTTCCTAAGTCCTCATTGCTATCATACATTTTTTTGCTCATATTGCGGTTAGAGGGTGTTAACAATCTCCTAATGCAGTACTAAAAAATAGCTAGTAATGAGAAAAACAATTACCTAGTGATAACAAGCAAAGTCCCATTATAATCTCTTTGCTGGTCATAACTCCACTAATCAGCCTGTGTAAGACACTACTGTCACTGACAAAGGTGATCAGGGCCTCTGCAAACTTGGCATAGCAGGAAATGTTCACAGGAGCACAGCGATGGAAGAATGGAATAGGTGCACTGGTGACACAAGAAAAAAAAAATCAGAAAAAAAAATTACTCCTACTTAATATAAATGCCACATCAACACACAAATGAAAGGTGAATAGATGCAACCACTCCACCCTCATAACATCATAACCAGAAACCATGTGTTGAATGCACAAGTGCTGCTGGAATGAGGATGATCATAATGGGAAGTGATGCAGTTCTTACAAGTAACCCTGTGAGGCTGGACTGCACAGTCCAATAGGAAATTATTACCCTCCCACCCTTAAACGGCAAGGCTCAGAAAATACACGTTCCTATTTGTGCTTAAGTGTCAAGTGGTGAACCAGCAGCTGAAACAATGCCTTTCACTTGCGTTAGAGTGGAATACTGGCCCACATTTGCAGCAAAAGCAATCCCAGAATGGCAATACTCTTCTTGCAAGCATTTGTGTTATGCCAGAAGACATCAGCACTTACAGCTGCTGCCAAGCAAAACCAATATATTTATTCTTAGTCTTTCCCCATACTACGCTTGCTCTCATATTGAAGATTACAATCACAGTGTTTACTTTCATTAACTTTGTTAAAATTATGCACTACAGTCTTTGCAAAACATGCAAATATGCCTCTGTTGTTTCGTTATTCCTGAACTGTTTTGGAAGCATCTTCCCCCAAAATACTGATGCTATGCATTAAACTTTGCAGAATGCTCAGCAGAACCTGCCTGCTATCAAGTCCATCAGAGGAAGATACAAGAGAGCAAAAACTTCACTTTAGGAATGGGTAATTTTGTTTTCCAAACGTTTCCCATTAAGTAGCTGCCTTTCTTGCTCATAAATGGTGTCAGATTGCAAAGTGGCCTATTACATCTTCTGATCAATCTTCCCAATTACACCTCAGACATATGTTCCATGAATTACACGTTCCTTCCTGTAATTGTATCCAATGAAAGAAATGTCTTTCGTATTGTCAGTCTTTTCTTCCAACCTGTGAATTTGTTTCACCGTCCCCAACCTTCCTTACTTAAAAGATTTCAGTGGACTGTAGCAGCAATGCACATAACCTTTTGCAGTTTCCCCATTTCAGCAATGACCTATAAACCAGTGATTTTCTGTACTCAGTAACTATTTGTTAAGCTCAAGCAGTTCCAAAATTTTGTCATTTAAAACACATAGTGAGTATGGGCCACAAAAATGATCCAGGGCTGGAGCACCTCTCCTATGAGGACAGGCTGAGGGAGTTGGGCTTGTTCAGCCTGGAGAAGAGAAGGCTGCAGGGAGACCTGATTGTGGCCTTTCAGTACCTAAAGGGGGCCTATAGGAAAGATGGGGAAAATCTTTTTAGTAGGGCCAGCTGTGACAAGACAAGGGGTAATGGTTTTAAACTAAACCAGGGCAGGTTTAGACTAGATATAAGGAAGAAATTCTTTACAATGAGGGTGGTGAAACACTGGAACGGGTTGCCCAGAGAGGCAGTGGAGGCCCCATCCCTGGAAGCATTCAAGGCCAGGTTGGATGGGGCTCTGAGCAACCTGATGTAGTTAGCGGTGTCCCTGCTCACTGCAGGGGGGTTGGACTAGATGACCTCTAGGGGTCCCTTCCAACCCAAAACATTCTATGATTCTAAACCAGCTGCCTTAGGCACATCCTTTCTATGCATTGTTTTGGGGGAAAAAAACACGAGATGCTGAAAAACATTAGTGTGTAATTATTCTGCACAGAATTCAGGAGAAATTATGATCACCTGCTATACCTAGGTAATTAATAGATCCTAGGTTTTTGTTTGAAGTGACTGACAGTTGTAAATTACATGGTTTTTAACTTACTGTGTTGAGTAGGCAAATGCATTTGGAGATGCTCATGTTGATTGTCTACTTTTAGGTAGTGATGAAGACAGCAGTTAAGTACAGCAAAGTAATTGTGAATTAGTCACAGTTGTTAAAAACCAAACTAAACCCATAATGATGGCTGCCCTGTTTAAAAGGCAGCCTGTGTATCCTCTCAGCCTCTTACAACATAACCTATTTTGGAATATGCAGCTTACTGCCGTTCATTATATGCAATAATACCACGAAATACTGAAATCTGAGAGGTTTATTTAATTGTTAACTGCTCCAACTTTGCAGAAAGCCTAGAGCATTTAGAAGTTGTCAATATCAGTAACAGTGCAAATTATGAGCTGAGAGCAGGCAAAAGACTGTCATTCCTGCATCCAAATACGAAAACATCCACTTTGAAAAGGGAAGCTAACAGGATTAAAATACTGTGCCAAAATACATCCCAACAGAGGAAAAAAATGCTTTTTGTGTACCAGAGTTTGTATTACCCATCTAACACCCCTTAAGCTATAGCAATTTCACTACACATTTTAAGTTACCTATTTTCGTGTGCAATAATTAATTTCTAACTTTGTTGTAATTAATTTAAAAAAATGAGGTTAGTGGTTCTTACAAGCTTTCTTAAGTAAATAGGACTCCTGAGAATCTGCCTTTTGAGATCTGCTGCTATTTCAGTGGTTGTGACTGAATGAGTGGGCAAGGTAAGGTGTCTTGTTGAATAAAAAATACAGTAATAGATCTATTCTCAGTGACATGTGCTATTTTATATGGCCTCTTGATTATAACTTGCTATATTACATACCAAAATGGAATTACACATTCTGAGAATAACAACACGATACTTAATCACGAACAAGAGCAAGTAAAGTTCAAGCCAGCAGATTACGATGTTAAAAATAGTATTTTTAAAGCAATATTCAAATGAAGTTAAGAGACCTGCCTGATGGTTCGAGTACTAGATTTCAGAGGAGAGCTTTTTCCTCTCATTACCACACCTGGGCATATATAGCAACCTCTGTGTGTGGAGCCTTCTTGGGGTGCTACCTGCTCCTTATAACCTCTACAGAGCAGCCCCATGACACAGCTCGGCACATCTGTTATAATGAATAGTGCTGCAGGGAAAAGCTGGATAGGTTTTCCTCTAGGGTCCTCTATTTCAAAACTAAACAGCAAAGTCACGCTCTACTGAGGCTGAGATGTGCTAGGCACAGTTTCTGGAAGAGACATGTATCGCTGGCTGCATTGCTAGACTGCACTGCTGTGTCAAAGTTGGATGGAGTGCCTTGGAGCTGGAGGATCAGAGTCCACTGAGAGGTGGAGCCTCAACTGAAGGGTGTGAAGAAGCCTGGTCATCAGACAGAAAACATCAAGGGACAGTCCTCACAGCATACTCTATTTTCATCCCAGGGACCTAATGGGAATCAGATGGTGGTTCATACCTCTGACAGATCAAATCTGAAACCAGGAGTGCTAGGCAAGTTCTCCCTGAATGCCTCAGCCTACAGGGTGCTGGGTTTTCATTTGTTTGTAGCCACAGGATTCCATTTTCCCTCCAAATTACACTAATTTACTGAAATAGTTTAACTATAGAAATCTGAAAACCAGAGTGGTTTACAGATACAATATTGGCCTTTTTTGCTTTAGGGCATTAAGTTCAGACTTTTCAATCTCAGAAAATATTCAAACATATTCATATCAAACAAAAAAGGAGAAATACTCCACCTACACAATGGCTTTTTGAAAATAACTCTTGAGGTAGTTTTTTGTGAGGAATTTACATAGTGTCATTAGAGCTCTGACACACTGTTCTATCCTCCTGTTTTCTTATTAAGCTATATTCATTCAGACCGAATGACAAGGGAACACAGTGAGAAAAGTCAATATAATTCTGGCAAAAATTAAGACTGACAGGCCTTTTCAGTATGCAAGCTGGCACTGAAGTTTTCATTTGTTTTTGTATTACAGCTATAACAGCTGGTTAGCTGCATGGAATATTAATCTGCTGCAGGGAAAAGTAAAAAAAAAAGTTAATATTCCAGCTGCTACTTATTGTCACTACAATATAAAAAAATTATTCACTGGAGAGACTGCCATGCAGACAAGAGAGATTAAAAATCAAAGTTTTTAGAACTGACATAATTATAGCATTTAACAAAACCATAAGAGAAAACTATGTGCAGGGCAAGACTGCAGTTGCAACCCACTACTGAATATGTCTGAGAAGCTAAACTTTGAGGAAACAATGGATGCTTTTTCTGAGTGAGAGGAACTACTGACAGAAGAGTGTGCACAACAGCAAACAGATCGCTTCTTTTCTCAGCAATGCTCATGTCCACAGTTCCAGCCAGCACAGCTAGCAGAGTTTCTGGAGCTACAAACTCTCCTCTCCTGCTTCATAAAAAGCAGGAGAGTAAAATATTTTAAACAATAAAACTCAAATCGATCTGTTTGTAAAATACAGCCGTCTTTTTGGTACTTGGCCATCCCACCATTGGTCATTTGGGGACTGAAAGAATAAAAAAAAAGCAATTTGCTAAATCTGACTGGCTGAGGTAAGGTGTAAGAAGTGAACACTGTAAAGAGCTGTGTATGCATATATCCTTTTTCCTCCCAAAGATCCAAAGTGCCCCATAATTGCCTCTGATCTGCACTGCTGACAGGCAGCTGGCTATAGGGTGAAAGGCAGTAAAACAGCTGATACTCAACAGGGTCTGTTACATGACACAGAAGAGAACTTGCAGATACCAGCTCAATAATCTCAGTAACACATGCATGGATAGTTTGTGTTTTTCTTTACGAGTTGCTTTCAAAATGTCTTTTAAAAACATGTGGTGATAATACATTAAAACATCCACCTGTAAGACAGAATAAATTTGTGCTGCATATTTTCTAAGAACTATCATAAACAAAACAAATCTCTGCTCCCTCCACCCCCAGTCACACAAGATGTTAATATTACCTCTCTGGAACAGGATATTTAGGACATAACTTGGCGGCCCTTGGGTCTGTAGTGTATTCTGATGGCTGTAGTTCATAGCTACACAGAGTGGATCCTGTTGAGAGGAAAAAAAAAAAAAAAAAAGATTGATGGGGGGAAAAAAAATAAAAACCAAATTTTCCTATTCTTTGCAAACAGTATTAAAACTGATATAGGTCCTGATTCTGCAGCTCCTCATGTTATTACCACAAAGCTATGCTAGAGTTCCTCCTGTAAGGGAACAGTGAATCGAGCCCAACACAGGCTTCAGTGTAACAGAACTGACACTCTTCATCCAGCTTTGGGTCTTCCAACATTTGTGTATTCGAGTCCAAAAGGCTAATTCACAATGCAGTGTGTAAGAGGACACAAAGCACTTCGAAGTCACCCTCCCCTGCTACTCCACCACACTTTTTCTTGATCATTTTTAGTGCATGAATATTGTATAAGACAACATTCATTACAGGAAGAAAACACTCAAGTGGTTTTTGTTCTGGTTTGGGGTTTTTTTGCGGGGATGGGGTGGTTGGGTTGATGTTTTCGAAATGCAACTGGTCTATAGACTTCAGGGAGAGGAACAAAGGAACCAAACTCCTGTGGTTAGAAAGTTGGCTGAAAAATAACACAAGCTCTGACCGCATTATATGTCCAAAGCTTTTAACGAAGCTGAACTCTCTCTCTAAACAAATTGGTACAGAACAATAAAGATCAAGTTGCCTACAACCAAATTTAAACATAATTTAAGCTTTCCTTAGTACGTGACACTTGCCTAATGGAAGTACATTACCCAGACAGATCTCTTCCCATTTGTCTATAATCAAGATACTGAACATCTGAGCCAATGCTTCTAGAAATACAGCAACTGCCAAATCAGATTGGAGCAGCAGTCTCTCAGAAACTGGAGGAAGAGGCAAGAAAGCCTCCAGCGCTATAAGCTGTCTATCCAACATGAGTTTCTTCCCAAGCTTGTTTGCTAACAGATTGCTTACTCCCCAGTGCAAGGGCTCTGGATACATAAGCCTTTAAAGTTCTTTTTTTTTTTTTTAGAGTTCTTTAGAGTTCTTTTCTACATCATAAACTAAGGACATCTTGTTCATCCCTATAAATATTGAATTCTTTCCATTATGAAAGTCTCTTCTCCAGAAATACTTCGTAGCAGAGAGTTCTACAAATTGAGTCTGGATAATACATACACACTTTTACCCAAATTAAACCAAGACTTTAGACAAACAGCCTTATCTTGGCCTGTGTCACACCAAACAGAAGTATTATTTGTTGAAATTGTAGAATACTATTTGCAAAAATCTTGTTTACCATGGCCACATTGCTACCTCTATGAAGAGACGACTTCTATTTACAGACTGAAAGAGAAGACAGAGGGCAACTGAGCAGGCTATCCCATGCAGTCTCTGGAACACTACTTAAATACCGCTTCTACAAATCAGGTTTTTTGGGGGCAGGTCCGAAACACCAAATACATCACTGAAGAAAGTTAGATTTCCTCCAAAAAGAAGGCACTAGGTAAAACATCTGAACTCCATTTTCAATTATACTGTTTATATGAATCCTTATGCCTCTACTTGCTTATGTGGAAAACATGGCAACAGATAAACAGACATCAGACAGAACTACCTTCCTTACATCATACCTAAAAGTAATTATTACTCTTTTGGACAAAAGGCTCTATACTGCTGCAAAATTTTTTAATCTGTTCTTGTAGAGATACAAAAACTTCCAGACCAAGTGTGTCTACAAGCAACTCCAGAATTTGATGGAGGGGCAGCAGTAGAGTCACATCTTTATCTTAAAAATAGAAGGAAAAAGAAGATTGCAGACATTTACATTTATTTTATTTTGCTTTGAATATAGGCCAAAAGCTAAGTCATAAAGGCAATTAGAGTAACAAGTCCTGTAGGAAGAAGTGTATGTGTTGGGGGGGGGGGGGGGGGGGAG